TTGCCACAACGTCTATCGAAATTTCAACAATAATTATAAAACAGGGTAAATTTGAAGGAGCTATACAGTTTGGAGGTAAAATTAGACGACCAATTTGAAATTTATTTGCCATTTTCGACCTAATCTTATCCACCTGCCTAAAACTGGGTCGAAAAATGACAAATAAAGTTCAAAAACTTCACAAGATTTTTAAATCCCGAGAAGTTTAGTGACTGGTTTGCCAAGCTAATGAAAAAGCTACCAAACTTCACAGGAGTTGAAATCACATGAAGTTTGGCCGCTGTTGAAATCACATGAAGTTTGGCCGCTGTTATAGTCGTTTGAGTGATGGAAAATAATCTCTAATCAATGGCAAACAAGTGTCCCACGTTATGCATAACCAATTTAGCACCTCAAGATAATCAGAGGCCCAATTTGGCCAACTCGATACGCCGATCTTGCGAGTACGGCTCAAAAGGCGTTACATGTTGACGACCCGAAAGGCGTTACGTGTCGTCTCCCGGCCGAGGCGACTATTTAATCACTCCACTCGGTCGACACCTTGTGAGGGCTACTCAAAAGGCTGTACTTCTCGACCACCAGATGAGTAGAAAGATCACGAAAAACCTCGAGCCCCTCCTGTGCACTGATGATCAATCATCTCACCATAAACGCTATTAAATGCATTATGGATGCCATTATTCCTCTCCTCCAATAGTATTTATGACACATAGGATCACGTCGACACCGCACACCCCCCGTCACTTCGCATTAAACACCAAAGTGACCTCATCTCCACTCTTCGACCGACACATGTAAAGTTGAAGCTGACTTGGCTACTAGCCCATGCCTGGTCAAAGTTACCTTCCTGCCCTCCTTCCACAACTATAAAATGAGATACTATTTTCCATTATAAAGTAAGCTTTTTTCACCTTTCACTGAGCTTAAGAACTACTGCAGTTCCTTATACTTCTCCACACAAGCAGCTCACTGACTTGATCATCAGAGGAACAAACGGGGAATCACACCCCGCCCTCTTAAGATTTATTACTTGTGCAGGAAAGTGTAGTTTGCCTAAAGAACAGACATTCGAAGAGTTAGAGAACCTCCGCCAACTTAATCTACCTTTATTTGACTGTGTGATTCCATACATCAACAGCCACAATTTCACGGGATTTTAACTCCCGTGAAATTGCAGGGTGCAACAACTAGAGAGCTCGCGAGCTCTCTGCCAAATGAGCCTGCAACGTCATGAGATTTCAAATCATGTTGTAGTTTGAGAAAACCCCAGTGAGTTTATTAGCTTTCTCTCGGATGTTATTTATAGTGTTTAGGGAAAAAAAGAAGTTTGTCCCTACCTGATGTTGGACTAAACAAAAGTAAACATTACTCTCAACAACTACTCTCAACACTCCCCCTCAAGCTGAGCATACATATCATATAGCCTAGTGTTTGGTGGAAAATTTTGTAACAAGAAAATGAGAAAGGAACTGTACTTGATTTTATTCTCTCTAACTGTTTAGAAAAAGAATGATTACAATTCTCTCAACTCTCAATTACAATTGGATTTTCGATTACAAAAGAGAAGAGAATGATCGGGATTCTCTCCTTTGTTTAATTCTGGGTTCTTCTTGGTAGCGATGAGATGCCTCCCTCGATTGTTCGCGTCGAGTTTGCTTCTCGTTGACGATCCGAATATCTATACTCACTGGAACAACTGTCTTATCTGGTTGATAACTCTTAACGAGTTTTGTGATTCAGAACAAGCAACAAACTCTAATGATAGAGTTGTTGGAACCGAAAATAATTCGGTTAATAAGCCAAATATCGACTGCTTAGAGTTCCTCCGTCTGTTGATTTCCCAGACTGTGTAAGGAGTCAATCCTCCTTTTTCTGATTCTGGAAGATCTGATCGAAAGATCTTCTCCAAAATCCAACCTCGCCTGAAAGATCCCCTCAACAAAAATCTGCCCCTGATCTGATTATCCAAAATCCGATCCTTAACTCTGTTGAGTTTGTTGATATTTATAGGAGGATTAGGGGTGTAACTGCCCCCATAATCCGCGCCTAAATGGGGGTTTAGTTACCCCATTAGTCGGGTGTAACAACCCACTAAAGCCACTCCTCAAATCGTGGGTGAAGAACAGCTTCGAAGTTGTTACGATCACGTTTGAATGAGTCAGAACCTTGACCTGCGTTCTGGCGGTGATTGAGCTGCGTTTGGCAGCGACTGACGGGCTGCGTTGGGCAGTGATGGATGAGTTGCGTCGGCAGCGGTTGATAAGCTGCGTTGGGCAGCGATTGATAAGCTGCGTTGGGCAGCGATGGAGCTGCGTTCGAGCTGTGCTTGGCAGCGATTGGAGCTGCGTTCGAGCTGTGCTTGGCAGCGATTGGAGCTGCGTTCGAGCTGTGCTTGGCAGCGATTGGAGCTGCGTTCGAGCTGTGCTTGGCAGCGATTGGAGCTGCGTTCGAGCTGTTGATTGTTGTAGTATTTAGATTTCTCTGTCTTTATATATGGATGACACCAAAGACCAGTAAAGAAGGTCTTATTCAGGCCATTTGTGACAATTGAGGCATCTCAATAACGCTCTATCAACTGCAGGTCATGATCTCCACTGAGTGTGTCGAATATCATTACACTGCTCATCAGCACCTCTAATGGTTGCTAATATAATATTAGTCATGTTGTTGTCGCAGCCATCAAGATCAATCATCTCACATAAGAAGCTGCATAATTGTAGTCTTCTGGAAGTCGTCAGATTGTAACTTCCATCATCAGTGTTCGATGGAGACTCAGCTATCCATTGTGATTTTTAGACAGCCTACAGAACCCCCTCCAAAGTTTTCGAAAGTTCGCGGTTGACTGGGACGAATTTTCGGAATACTTTGGATCCCAAAACTTTGCTAATTAAATGTATTCCATCGTAGACTGAGTAGAGCCTCTCAGGGTTTTAGGCAAATTTGGTCGACATCCTCCTTCTTGTTTGCTTTGTCAATAATGGCTTGGACCTCAGCTTGCATGAACAGACTTTC